ATATCCCAAATTTTCATTAATATTCCACTTGCATATTGTTATAGAAATTCCACTTATAAATTTTCAATTCAATATTTAGATTTTGATAAGTTTATTACTAAACACAAAATTTAATTACTAAACACAAAATACCAATAAATGCTAGGAAAAGAATTTGTACAGTTCAGTACTGAGAAATTATAAAGAAAATGAAGCAGTTTTGTTTTTGAGATAAGTTTATAAAGAATGATTATTATACTTTCAAAAAATAAAAAATAAAATGTATCTTCTTTAATATTTAATTATATTAATATGATCATCAAGTTTCATACAAATTAGAAATCATAATGTGGTTTCTTATTATTTCTAAATATTAGTAATCAATGAATTTAACATAACTAAACAAAAAGCTTAAAAATGTTTAAAAAAATGTGCATTTTCTGTTAATATCATGCTTGAAACTATCTTAATAACACTTTCTTATATTTTAATTTGCAGTTAAACAATTCGCTCAAGGTGAGTAATTTTATTTAGCAAATGTATATGTACATACACCGAAGAGCCATTACATTATGACCACCTTGCTGATAACATATAGGACCACCTTTAGCCCTCAGCACCCGCCGTGGCATTGATTCCACAAGGTGCTGATAGGTAGTCTGAGGTGTCTGGTACCAAGCGCTCACCAACTTGTCCTGCAATTCCCTCACATTGAGAGGGGGTAGCGTGGCAGTGAATTTGGTTTTCCAAGTAGGACCACAAATGCTCTATTGGATTAAGGTCAGGTGAATATGGGGACCAAGACATGTCTTGAAAGTCACTGGAATGTTCCTCTAACCAATCCATGACGGTTCGACCCTTATGACATGGTGCATTATCCTGTTGGTAAACACCATCCACAGCAGGAAAAACTGTTACCATGAATGGGTGAACCTAGTCTGCAACTATGTTCAACTAGCTATGTTAAATGCTATGTTCAATGTAGCAACTATGTTCAATGATGTATTTCATTTGGTTATTCTCTCCGAATATTTTGATTTTATATCTTTGGGAGTTTTAGCTTTTATCTGAATTTGGTTTTCCAAGTAGGACCACAAATGCTCTATTGGATTAAGGTCAGGTGAATTTGAGGGCCAAGACATGACTTGAAATTCACTGGAATGTTCCTCGACGATTCGACCCTTATGTCATGGTGCATTATCCTGTTGGTAAACACCATCCCCCGCAGGAAAAACTGTTGCCATGAATGGGTGAACCTGATCTGCAACTGTGTTCAAGTAGCATACAGACGTCAGGGATTGTACTATGAGGATTATGGGTCCTAATGTGCCCCATGAAAACATTGTTTCTGGGTGAGAAACCATGAAAACCTGGGCGAGCCCATTGTTATAGATGGAGGGTGGTCATAATGTAATGGATCTTCAGTGTATATATATTATATTTTAAAATGGATTCCATTTATATTTTAATATAAATTTGATTTTTATTCTTATTTATTCCCATTTTATTTACTCTTATTACATTTTTATTTAATAATTGACTTTATTACAGGAATTGCTAACGCAGGTAAGCAAAAATTAATTTTCGATAATAATATTATAAAATATCTATGTTTATTTTGAGTGAAAAGAGCGTAATATGTGTTACTGATAAGGAATCATATTAAAATAATATTTATTTTAGTATTTTAAATTCAATCACAATAAATACAAAATTTTTAATTTGGGATATCATTGAACAGCTAAAAGGAAAATGAGCGTCTGCGTACGTGATTTTTCTTTCCTTTTAAGTGAAAGAAATTTTTTTTCTTTTGCTATGCGCTGACTTTATTTTTTCGACGCTATAAGACAAGATATTTCGGGTAATATTAAACTATGGCTTACGAAATTTAATTAAATCTGCTACGAAAATTTAGATAACAATATTCTATAACAACGATTGTTAAATATTTTGTATGACGTGTTTGTTTCATTATATTTGACGTTAAATGGCAAGAGTTCAACTGTATAGTGCCGTTTTCGATAATTTTACATATAATTAGGATCGATACAAGTAATCATTCGATAAAAATTTTTTCCTCCAAAAATAAGTTGAATTTGTTTTATTACTCTTTTCCTAAATAAAAATTTAAATTGCAATACCACTCAAAAAGAAACATTATTTAATTTATAGACTTTCTTTCAATCTAAAGGTTTTAAAATTTTAGAATTAAAGTGTACTCTTAAGAAACTTTTATATACTAACTAAAAAAATTAATATTTTTAAAATAAAACATTTTAGTTTAAGAAGGAATTTTATACTATCGGAATTGTGATCCATAGTGGAACTGTTAGCAAACCTTCTGTCACTGCGGGTATGGTGACTCGTTGTTCTATCCTTATATAAAAAGTTGATATCGTCCCACTAAGATTTATCTTACTTAACTGTATAGTTGCTTTACAGATTAATAGGTAGCACCATTAAAATTTTAAATATTTTTTTTAAATATGAATTATAGTAAATAACATTATAAGAGCAATTTTTTTTAAAACTTTATTTTGAAAATAATTTAGACATTTACTTCCCGAATGTCACGCAACATAGCTAGACAACAAAAAAGGAAGGAAAAAAAAAGAGGGAGATGATGCATTAAATATCAAAAGAAAAAATGTGTGGAACAACAGATTTAGTAGCGCCACCTATCGATCCATAAAAACAATCACAGTCAGTTAAAAAAGGTAGATCGCATATTGGGATGATAGCAAATTTTACTATAAAAAGCACTAAACAGTTAATCATGAGGTACAGCGACTGTGGGAGTATTTTTACTGCTATGTAGTTTTTATTTTATACGGTAAATAATAATTATGAAAAATTTTTTTACTTGTAATTTTTTTTTTTTTTTTTGGATAAAAGAATTCAATAATGGAGTACAAAAACTTTTTGATTCACAAAAATAGCTTCAGAGACATGGCAAAATTAGCCAAAGTGGTTGCTAATTTATTAAGGGGTCCAAACTTCCAGCCGCTCACCTGACTGTGTTATTGTAACAATACTTTTCATATTTCAGTTATACCTCTCATCCGCATGTCTTAAATATCAAAAATCCGAATCCAATGAAAATAAGGAAGTTTTATTCATATGAAATACGTTTTTAAAGCATATTTAAGGTAATGATAATATTAAAAATTATCCCTTAAATCATTTGGATTGTATCAAGTTTGCGCGTAAAAATATTATAATTAGGTCAGGAGTTATTTCAGTTTTCGCTTCTAATTTTGCTCACTAAGACTTCGCTTTAGTTACAAGCAGTGATTCCTTAATAAAGTATTAAAAATATAAATCTGAAAACTATTTTTGTCCTGGTGAGTTATGATGATTTGTTGCAACGATCTGCATTTTAAATATTTCTATTGTGAATTTTCTTTTTACTCCTTGTTTTTATTCATAGTTGCTAACCAAGCTCAGTAAAAGTAAAAAAATTTATATTATTCATTTTTCAATAGTTTTATTTGAAATTAAAAATGTTTTTGTTTTACCATTACAAGATTTTTAATCTGTATTTTTTGTTGCATTTTTAGTGTTTTGAAATTTATCACATGAATTTATTTTTCAAATGCAAAAAATTATTTTTTGTTTTAGTTATAATAAAGCATAGGTTGAAAAAAAAGGAAAAAAACATACAAACATTATGTGTTCCAGGATGTTTATTTTGTGCTATAATGTGCCAGGATGTTTATTTTATGTTATATTTTATGCATCGTTTAACAGCCGATACAGTTTTGAGTTTACGAGTATCAATGCGTAGCTTTGTAATTTTGAATCCAATCCAAAAGACAAAGAAACTCCTGGATCAAGCATTGGGTGAAATTTGCCTTCATGCAGGACTTATTGATGGAACTAACACGCATTTGCGTTACATGGAGATGAAAACAACGAAAAACTCTCACGATTAGCCTGAGGGCAAGGGTACTCTAATCCATGATTCAGTCTACCGCTGAGGATATTTTACATCAGAACTGTGGTCAGACAGTAGGGTGCAGAAATCATATCGACTAGCCATAGCTGGGATTCGAATCCGGGTCACCTCATTGGGACCCTAAAAGCTCTGTCCACTGTGGCTTTCTAGGAATTTTAAAAGCAATAAGGAACTGTAAAAATTGCATACCTTAAATTAGAATTCATTGCAAAAAGAATTTTCTAAGCATCAAAAGAATAAAAGAAATTTTTTATCTGTTATTAAATCTAGAATTCTCTCTACTTCAGAACGAGGCACTTTCCTATTTCTATAGGTTTGACTTCGGAACCCTGGAACTGTCTGCATGATTCTAGATAATTCTCGTATAACTCAGTAAATATTAGTTAGATCGCCTCGAAACTCGAATTTTTTAGAACTGTCATTTTGTCGCTGAAATGGTCGCCAAGTATCGTCAAGTCGGCAAAGATGTCGCCAAACCGAGTTTTCCGGAGGAAATGCATTAAGTGCTATTTTCTCTTTAAATTGCATTAGAATTACGCGATTTTTTTTTAATTATAATAACAGTTTTTTGGCCTTTGATCAGATTGTGGCATAACGAAATTTACTTTTCCGAATCACATTTGTAAGTTTTTACATTATTAACGTGTAAACAAATTAATGGTAATAACAATTTAATTGGTTATTTTGCTTTTTTTTAAAAAATAAATTATCTGTATTTCTGATTACACAATTTATTTTTTGAATACTATAGGTTACTGTTTAAAATCTTTTTATAATGAATTGCGTTCATAGATTATAATTTAAGAGCGTAATGCCTAAAATATAATCAAAAGCTATATGCAAATAATTACTTACGATACGAATAATTAATGAAATTATATTCAGATAATATAAATTGATGGTTCTAATGAATTTAATAATAAGTTTTTTAAAGAAAAAATCGCTAAATTGTTTTTGTAGTTATTTCCGTGACGAAGCCTTGACGTTAAAAAAAGTGATTTTTTTTTTAACATTTCATGTAATTTACATGAAATTAAAATTTTTTAAACGAAAAATCATTTATTAGAAATTCAATTATTTCTTGAAAGAAATCTTGATTTATAATGCAATTTGTTACATAATTTATTAAAACTTAATATCTAATTAAACAAAGCCTCGCTTTATTTAATTTAATGATTTACGTTAGGAAACATGAATGCGAGGTTTTACCAAACCTTAATAAAAGACAACAGCTAGTAGTTCAATAGCTAGTAATATGAATAGGTAGTTCATGCAATATTAATTGCTTACTTAAACGTCACTGTAGCACTTGCATTTAATACAATTTTCTACTCTGATTTTCCATATAATTTATTTATAGGGTAGCCTTTGGAAGACTTGAAGAGTGATCACCATTCCAGAAACATTTTTGAAAAAAATGTACCTTCCAGTTAATTTTGAATAAAATTGCATTTAAAAAGTGAATCTATGGTTCAATTATTATAATTATTATTTACATGGTATCCATAACGAATACAAAGCAGCTGTTTTAACAATCATTTTGCGATTGTTATTAAACTTTGATAATATCTCCTTATTAACAATATGTTGCTGGTAACGATGCATGTAATACTAATTTGAAACTATTAGAAAAACATTTTAATGCTATTTATGTTCCTCAATGCATGTAAACGTTTCTGTTCATACACTGTTAATATGAACTATGGAAATGTAAAAAGGAGTGTCATTGTAATAATATGAAATAATTGAATGGAACACTTAAAAATTAACGACTTTTTAAACTGATTACTTAAATGAATTTGAGCGAAATCAGCCGAATAGTTCCTGAGAAATCGAATTTTAATAAAGTGGTATTTTTAAAATCCAATTTCTCAGGAACTATTCGACTGATTTTGCTCAAATTTTATATTTTGCGATGTAAAAAATATACCTTACAATTCAAAATTTTTTCGACTATTTCTTAATAAAATTATAAAAAATAATAAATATTTACTAAAATGTATTTTTTAAATTGAATTATCGTTAGATAAACGAATTTTATAATTGCGTGTGAAATTTTTTCAATTCTCTTAAAAATTTCTCGAGATATGGTGAAATACGCTAAAAGTAAAATTAACGTTAAGAAGTCGTAACTTAGGATCGTTCTTCTGACTAAACTATGGGGACAATGTTTCCCAGACTGCGATTTCTCCCAATATTTTGGGGGTTAGAATTCCGAATCCATCGAAAAAAAAAGGTATGTTTGATCAGAAAAAGAACGCTTTTTCATGTCTGATTTCGTAACTAAAAAATATCGACTGCTCCAATTAATTAAAATATGTGAAGTCACCCGCTCAAAATCATTAAAATTGAGTGCTAAAACGCGAAGATCCGATCATTAAATTAAAAGTTATTCAGAGTGTTTCATTTATTATTATTATTATTTTTTTGCGCACTGTACTTCCACCAACAGCCAGCAATTTCAAATACTGAATATAAAGTATAGGTATTGCGTATAGGTATAAAGTATAGGCAAACAAAGCGTTTTTCTAACAATTACTTTACCAATTATTTAAATTTAATTGACATTATATATTATTATGTTAGTATATTAATGCAACCATATTGTTGCTAGCCACAAATCGTTAGTAGGAATGTATGTAATGTATGTATTTAAAGAATAAAAATTTAAAAAGAATGGAACACGATTTTAAAATAATTTATAACCCTTTATGTGCATATTTATGTGTATAAAAATATATATGAAGCAAATATAAGTTTTAACTTTGGACGAAACTGGCCTGATATGTGATAATGTAACGATAACATTATAATGGTAAAATATGTACAGTAAGCAAAAAATAAACGAACAATTTTGAACAACTTTTGATCTAATGATTGGATCTTGGGACACAATCTTAATGGTCTGATGGGGTAACTTTAATTATGCTAGTAAATTAGCGCAGACAATATTTAAAGTTACGAAATCAGACATAAAAACGTACTTTCGCTGAATAAACATACCTTTTATTTCGAAGGATTTAGATTTCCGATCCTGAAAATATAGGGGGTAGCGGCAATCTGGGAATTATGGTCACAATAGTTTGGTCAGGAGAACGGTCCAAAGTTTGGACCTCTTAATGTAAATTTTATTTTTTGTGTATTTCACCATATCTCGAGAAATTTCAAGCGAATTGAATAATTTTTGAGAAACACAAATCATAAAATGTGTTTATCCAAAGATAATTATATAAAAATATGTCTTTAAATTAATATTTATTATTATACTTAATAATAGTAGAAAAATTTTTCACATCACTTTCAAAAATGTAATTTTACAAGGCAAAATACAAATTTAAGAGTGAAATTGATTTAATAGATACAGACGAATCGAATTTTATTCGACTATTTCTGAATAAAATAATAAAAAATGATAAATCTTTGCTAAAAGTTAAGTTTTTCATAGAATTATCTTTCGATAATTAAGTTTTATAGTTCTGTACAAAAGTTTTTCAATTCGTTTGAAATCTTTTCGAAATATGTTGAAATACGCAAAAAAATAAAATTAACATAACGCTGTTTTTCGAAGCTCTGTTGCCAAGGAAAATAAAAAAGCCATAGTTTAAAAGCCTTCTACTTGACGCCACATGATGATTTTAAACTATACATATATAATCTTGCCTGATAAATTGTCTTTACTTATTTGTCTGTTCTTTAGAACAGACAAGTAACTTAAATGTTTTAAACGTTAATTTTTTTTCAAAATCTCGAATTCAGCGAAATTTAGCCGCCTAGATGAAAATTATGAAAATCATTGCCTTATACTCAGCTTTTACAAATTTTTATGAGCCTAAGTAATGCAGAATTGGAGTAAGTTTTTATTAAACAATTAGACCATAAACGCATTTTATTTTCACAAAAATGTGGCTTTTCTCTGTATTGCATTTTAGGCTATTTTTGAAAATAAGCGTAGATAGTCATGAGTCAAACTTACAGCAGTTACAAAAATAGCATTTTATTCGCAGTTAAATCATCATTTCTTATTACGGCGGAGCCTTCGAAAAACATCCTTAAGGGATCTCAACTTTGAACCGCTCTCCTAACCAAACTATCATATTTCCTAAATTGCTGTTGCTAGTATGCTTTTGTATCTGATTTCGTAACTTGAAATATCATCTACACTAACTAATTAGCACGTTTAAAGTGACCGGATATCAAAAGTTATTCTAGGCGGTCCGTTTATTTTGTACTTCAATTTATATTATTCAATTTACTAGGGCTGTAAAACAAAAAAATTAAAAGATATAATCTCCTCATCAGCTCACACGATTTTATCCGCCAAAAGGAGTACTTTCTAATATTGTATTAATATAGCCAAAGCAAAACATATCAATACAATTGCGTGGGGAGCACTCAAAATGAAAAAAAAAATTGATCAATTAAGCAACTACGAAGAGAAAAAAATTGTAATTATCCTCATAGACAAAGCTAACAACAATTATACAATCTTCTGTAAACAATTCTATGTTGAACCTTTAAATACGGAGTTAAAAAATAGTGAAAATTTTAAGCTTTAGTAATTTGCATAATAATGTTATCATTAAAAAAATTAGTTTTATATATAAAATTAAAAATTTAAAAATTAAAATTAGCAATGTACAATTTTCTTACTTAATTATCAGTCCTAAATTTTAGAAAATTCCTATAAAGTTCAGAACAATCAGACGTGGGTCTAATACTTACCTAACTAAACCTGGCACCATTGTCTCTAACTACATAAATAAAATTATTAACAATATCATTAATATGGATTATCTCTAATAATCAACCTTTTTTGAAATTTATTAAACAAAATAAAATGAATTCTATTGCGACTTTTGATTTCCAGGATCATTTCAATAGCATTCCCCTTTCTAAATTAAAAGATGCCCTTTTGAGTTATTACTATAATTTTAAAAATATCCTTAGTTACGATTCAGATTAATGGAAAATTCTAATTATTTTTTGTCTTAAAAAGACAAAAAATAATTATCTTTACAAGGAAAAAAAATATTTTTATTCAAATTGATGAAATACCACATGGATCTAGTTAGCTAACTTACTTTTACACTATTATAAAAAAAAAAAAATTATACCCTTATTATTAAATTTGTTCTTAGATTTATTGATGATTTAATCATCTTTAATTTTCAAGATTACACAATTTTATTAAAGAATATTTACCCCGAGGAATTAATCTTGCT